GAATTGTAACTTCTTCGGCTACATTCATTAAATCTGCAAACCAGAGTAGCATCAAACTATGTGTCTAACAAATTTTTTTAAAGAATGATTGATGTCTGCCGTTTTAAACGTGACTTTACATAACAATGGCTATGACGTAACTAACGTTTACACAAAGTGTAGCCCGATGAGACCAGATGGTTTTATAAAACACATATGCACACAATTTTTCCTTTGTATAACATTTGAAAACTCTCCCTGCTCTAAAAAATTAAAGCAATTGTAAAATCCTAGACAGCCATTCTTAAAAAAAAATAAATTAAAAAAAATAAATAAATAAATGGTTCCTTTGCATCCTAAAGATGGCTGAAAATGGGTTTGTCATCTTCCTCGCCTGCAGTAAACGTCAGCTTCACACCAAAACCAACACATTACCGTGTCTTTAGCAGTGGCTGATTTTTGTGTCGGGATGATTGCTGTTGCGTCACCATTTCTTTGTAAAATGGAAAATAAGCGCATCTCCGATGAAAAAGCAATATTACTTACAATAAGTCTGTGGGTGTTCTTCATTTATGATTCTGGAACAAACTTGTTTATTTTAGGATTAGAACGCTATGTCGCCGTCGTGAAACCTTTGAAATACTTGACTTTTATGAAGCGCCGCCGAGTCATTCAAATAATTCTTACCTCTTAGGAAATTGCTTTTCTTTTTTCTTTGACTGTATCGCTGCGATCGATTGGATTCAACTAAACTGATCATATCAGGACTATCACCGGCTATTTTTTATTTGCTTTTCAAGACATAACTTTAATATTTTGTCTTTCATCCATGTTTCGTGTTGTTTATTAGCAGGATTCTTGAGATCACTTTTTAATTAAGCAGTTGTAGTTCAATGAACGGGTCGCTAGTGGTAAAACTCGGAATATGTCAGCATTAGAAAAAGAGTAGCGTTGGTAACGCGCGTGTTTCTGTTGTGTTACAGACTACTTATCAGTTGTAGTTTTTCCGTTTTAATGGGTCATCAGAGCACAGATTAGTTTTGGATGAAATCCTATAGCTTATGCTTTCTTCAAAAGGGACATAAGGCAAGAATGTAAAAACATTCTCTCCAGGAGGCGTCGTTGATTTAATACCCAGCCCCTGTTCGTAAGCAAGAACTATTTCAGTTGATGCCTGAGTTGTTTTTTTTGTTTTGTTTTGTTTTTTTTTACAATACCGGTCTTGTTGAACCTTATCATGTTCGGATGTTGATCTATCTATGATACATAAATTTATCCCCATAAAATAAGTATTAAAAAAAAAACAATGTAAGAATGTGGGGTTTATTTGACTTAAATTTCCAAGATTTAAGACCACATATCGATGTTAACTTTAGCGAACCGTTTGTTTAACTGCATTTGCTTGGGTAAAATGCGATTTTTAGAGTTCTTGTAAACGACGAGATACATGGATGCAACGCAAAAGATAAAAATCACACACAAGATTACTTCGAATAACAGATGGAAATAAGCGCTGAGACGATGGAATGAATTTAATATCATCGTTAATAGAACAATAGCGAAAAGAAAAGGAATTGCCCAAGATGTAAGAACCATCTGAATGACTCGGCGGCTCCTCATAAAAGTTAAGTATTTTAGCGGTTTCACGACGGCGATATAGCGTTCCAGAACTGAGCTAGACAAGTTTGTTCCAGAAGCGTAAAGTATTAACACCCATACATATATCACAAATTAACTTGCTTTTTCATCGGAGATGCACTCATTTATCATGTTACAGAGAAAATGCAAAGGAGCAGCAATCATTCCCACAGCAAAATCAGCCACTGCTAAGGATACAATGAATGTGTTGGTTTCGGTGTGAAGCTGACGTTTTCTGCAGACGAGGAAGATGACAAATCTATTTCCAACTATAGTGAAGATGCAAAGAGACAAGCTGAGAACCCAAAACCACAGCTCACTAAATGTCGTCTTAATGGCTGTCCAGGACTCTTAAATTGCATTTCGGTCGAGCAAAGAGTGTTCAGATAAATTTTTTAAGAATAAAAACTTGTGCTTTTAAAGAAGTTCCACAAAACCACTCAGCCCAACCCACACTTAAAAGTTAAAATTAAGACAGTCGCTGTTGTTATGTAATTTACGCTGAAGCATCCGTTCGTCCATAACTTTTTTGTCAGGAACTTGTGCTCGGGGTAAAGTGCCTGTTTATTGTTTTCAAGAGGTATGGACCGATCAGAAGTTGATAACAAAACAGGAACATTTACCTCGTCACCTGATGTGTTATATCCATGTCATCTATATCAACAGATGAACATTTTCCACAGGAAAGAGAAATTTTATCAGAAATTAATCCCTTATCTCACCAGTAACAACGAATATTTCTAATGACAGCATTTTTCTAAATTTCTAATCCTTCAGTGTTGATTGGTATTTGACAACCTTTTTATCATTGCTTTTTCGAATGATTACATTTTTCATCCAACTACGAACACCCTGCGATCTCTACTTAAGGAATAAGCTGAGAAATCCAAACCTTGTAATAAAGGAGGCTTAGAAGTATATCTAAGGGTGTTATCGCATGAATCTTTACCTAAATCATCAATTTTTTCGTCAGTGCCGAGCCAAAATCGCCCACTTCTATTGTCAAGTGATCGACTTTACAACAGAGTCGTATATGTATGTTATTCGCCAGCCGGTTTTGGAATTTTATAGATAAAGAGCTGACTATATGGATGAGCTACCGCTAAAACCGAATTCATTTTTTATTCATTGAAACTCAATTTAGTGTTTTAACATTTCGTGTCTATAAAAGCCTTCGAAAGTACCTGAATCGATAGAAAATTTTTTTCTTTTCCCTTAAAATTCTCAAAAACATTAGGTTTCTGACTTAGAATGAAATTGCCAGGCTTTTCCGAGACATTTTTAAAATAGTTATAGCTAATAAACTACAACAACTTTTTTAAAAGTCATTTCCTGACTTGTGGCAACCATGTAAGGTAAAGTAAAGTCTGCAATTGAGCGGGAGCCTAATAACGCGGTTTCCTTGGCATAAAGCGACTGGAAGCAAAATTATTGTCATATTACTCTTCTGTTAAATCATCTTCGTTGGGACACTCTTGGTAACTTAAACTTTCGTACCAATCATCCACCTGTTAAAAAATCCAAAAAGGCTTAGTTCGCATCTCCCTTCTATTTGAAGCATGTCCTCTAAAAAGGGCTTCTTGAGTCCGTAATGCATTCCCCTTTCGTCATATTTTAAGACCAGTTACAATGTTTATAAGTTTATATTCGTTCTACCCAAGTTTGATAGTAGCCTAGAATCAGTTACCTGTAACTGCAGCCATTTTTCCCTTCACTAGTATGTAATGCCCACCATTGGATTCACGATTAGCTTACGATGATATATATTCTTATTTCCATTTTTATTCATGGTATTTAATTCTCGTAAATAGTAATTTTGTAACGTAGATATATTAAGATTTGGCATCTAAATAATTATCTCTTGTATTTAGTTATTTATTTATTTTATTTACTTTTCAACTCCTAGTATATTGTATACTATTTTAGGAGTATCCCCGTAAAAATGTTGTAGTATTAAAGTATTTAAGTGAGGTCAACCCTCAAATGGAGCATAACAGTCTATGACAGCGCGCTCTCGTTTGACAAAGAGCTTGTTTGGCTTTGTTTAATCAGGTTCTCTTCGGGCAATAAAAGCAAAATGAAATGAACTATCGTCGCCTTAAAAAAAAGGTTTCCTCATAAACTAAGTATATAAGAGTGATAAGGAATCGCAATGTTGTAATAATGAACAGAAAGATTGAAGGCATCGTTGGAAATTCAAAATGGCGGTTGGCGATTAGGTAGACGTAAATCAAAACCACCTCATGCACTATTCTGGTGCAGTTTGCATCACGATAAATAACATAGACATTGGAAGAAAATAGATTGAGGATAAGCTCTATAATTTTTCTCACTTCGAAAAAGTTAATTTATTAACCTAAACCTTAAGGCAAAATTGGAAACATACCTCGATCATACGCGTCATTCCAACTGCCCTGTTACTTTGCCCAAATCGTCGTCTCGATTACACCGCTATCTTGAAGAAGGGCGAAGAACATTATCTATTTATTAATTTCCAATAGAGTTATGGGTTTACATAGCGAGAAAAACGAATAAAAAACTAAAATTTCGCATTGGGTAAGAAAATCTTCTAGTTCAGAAATGGTCACCATGTTGTGAAGTCACATTGTTGTCAAATTTGATAACCATCAGGGACTGATTACGGTTACGATTTACTACTTTGTGTTCGTTTTGGCAACTTATCACCTTCTACTTTGTACTATTTCAAGAGAAAGTGATTAAGAAGTGTCTTTATTTGCTCACGAAGAAACCTTAACGCTACTCTAGCTTTCTCTCTCTGGAAGTAGACAGTCGGTTGGGATCCCAGACTTTGAGAAATTTGAAAAAAAGCGAGTTTGAGACTAGTTACAGAGACTATGCTAATAACATGATTGAATTAAAGACTTGCAGGACAAGACATTTATCAAATGGCCTCTCTCCCAAACCTATACTAATGACAATTTTTTAGCCCTTTATGCATTTAAAGTCCAGGGTTACCACTGTTTCACGTGAGGTCATGAAGCGGTTACTAGGACATTTTTGAGCGCCTGTCGATATTTGGGTATTCGCCATGCGAAGACAAACAGGTCGAGTAGGAATTTCAGGTAAAGGAAGTTATCGGCCACCATGAGATTGACGATCAAAACTCTTGGAGTCTTGGGGTTTTCGTAGGAATACAAGCGGCAAATCCATCAAATTGCAGACGGCTGAGACGTCAAAAAACAAGATGACGATTAGGAGAAAATTGACGATGAGAAACTTGCGTTCCACGCATGTCTGTTCAATGTCTCTCCCTCTATCTTGTGTGATCTTGCCTTCACGAAGACTTTCAGAAGCGGCCAATTTCTCCCTAAAGGCGATGTACAGTAGAACGTAAAAGATATTGGTGCATGACGTAGACTTACCTGATGGAGTGAAAAATGTTCTCGATCTTTTGCACGATCTCTTCGGCGATGTCCATGACAGGAAAGATACTGAACGATGTGGAATACGCGTCTATAGCAAATAAACACATAAACAGGCGCCATTTTGTAATGCACCGGCCGTATTTTAGCGGCGAGACCACTCCAGTGTACTGGATAATTGTGAAAGCAAGTAATATCAGAAAGGATGCATTAATGGCTGCAACGTCTATCACTTTCCCGACTTCCAGTAGGGTTGTGCACGTTTCTAGGGGGTCAGGATGTCTAAGATACATCATTGTGAGGCATGTAGGGTACATGGGTTCTTGCGAGGCAGCTGTTAAGATATGTACAAAAGCCAAATCGATTAGGAAATTAGTAGTGGCAGTGTAGAATATCCTCAACAGGTAGAAGAACTGAGAAAACCACAAGTAACAAGTTGTTGACAAAGACGGTTACGAAGGAAACGATGATAATGTAAATTGCTGATCCAAAGGCAAACTTGAAAAACTCGTCAAATGGATTTGCCACGAGCCCAAAAGGTACAGACTGAACGCTGAACGGAGTGATAAATTCCCGGTGAAATTCGTCTTAATAGTGCAATTCGTCGCAGTTTTCGCATCCAAACTTTGCAGGTCTGGCTCCGTGCTGTGTCAAAACTTATTCCGACAAAGAGTGGAATGAAGGAGTTATTGAAGTCCGCCGTTCTTAAAATGCTCGACAATCCTCTCAATTGCAGTATAAGTCTCTTTAATTCACCTTTTCGGCTTAGTAGCGTCACGTGACTTTTGATGTAAACCCCACTTCCCGTGTACAAACTTCGGCTTCGCCATTTTGTTGTTAATTATTTCCACGGTTGTGAAGCGTTTCTTTGCTCAAAATCGACTTCTTTTTTGTATCATATGTTTGATTATTCACCAAGCGAGTTGATATTTCGCTAAGCTAAAGTAGATGCGAAGAATGTAGCAGGAAGCGTTCCAGCATGAAACAATCAAACTAGTTCTGCGTGCTTACAGTGATGTATCTGATCAGGTATTTCCAGGAAGACAAGAGCGTAGATTGTCAAATAAACACGCGTTTCGTAGGAAATTTGTGCCCACGAATCGCTGTAGGACGTAAGCAAGCCTTGATTGCCACACGGAATTTCGTATGGTATCGTATTGTATTGCGATTTTGTAACCTCGAGTAACGCGCGAGGGAAATCCTGCGAAACCAATTCAACGTTCAAGAACAGGAATAGCTCAGGATGGCAGAACGCAAAATTAGAACCGATTTCAAGGCTATGAATGTGGCAGAACTGAAAAATTATCTGCAGGAACAGGGGATTTCAGCAAGCAGGTATTTGAAGACTTCGTCGGTGGAAATCACCTTCACAGTCGAAAAAGACGACGTCACCTCTTCAGACAAACCAATAAGTCATCAATTCCCATTCCATCTTTCCTGAAGATTGTGAACAATTATAACTCGTCGCCGCTGTTTGGATAGTAGGACAATTGTAATCATTTGATTAACAACTCCACCGACTCAGGCAGGGACTCGCTGCTTATAAATCATTTGAAGATTTTCGCCCATTCGACGGTGGTGTAAAGAGACAAATTTGCATCTAGCAAGAATTTCCATTATAGGTGATTTTTTACTTATTTGAACGTGAAGATAAATGGAAAATATACATTAGCACAAGACATTCAGTAAAAATTATAATAAGCCAGTAGATCATTTCATTTTCCTTGTGGCGGTCTTACCTTACACATAGTTTGGTCACCTTTTCCTTGTTGTGATCGTGAAATTGATTTGGAGATAGGCGTTTTTGCGTAAACTGCGGTTTGCGGCTAGTTAGCGGTATATTTTCATTATGCAACAAAAAAAAATCAATTACTAAGAAATTGACTCTATCCTATAAAAATCAATCCCGTACAGGAATTGCCTTGAAATAACCCTCCTTTTTAACTTCTAAGGACAATTTTCTTTTAGGATACCTTTCCAAGTATGATTTTAACTCTGTCACTAAGTTTATTAAAATTTTTGGGGTTGTCAATCTTGTAAGACCAAGAAGTTTAGGTTAGAAAGACATTTCATAAAGCGTAAACATCGTGAAGGTAACTACTTAGTATGCGAACTCCGTTCTACGTAGCCCACCGTGATTCGCTATTTAAGAGTAAAAGTACGACGAAGGTTAGAGATTGACAGCTCTGTAAGTGTCACCTTTATAAACGGTGACCCTCACTTTCCTCGAGGGATCAGAGCTGGTCCGCGTTGTATGAGCTTCAGTAGTAAGAGTGAATAAAGAAAGGGACAACAAAACAACGAGTGTCAGGAAATTAATACTAACAGTGGTTATGTGGAATCTGGCGGACGTGGTGAAGGAATAGCAAGATTTCTGGTTTATTCTTGTCTATCCTGGTGCATCGCCTAGAATTCAGCGACACGTCCGGGACTTTCATTGAGACGCTGGCGCTAAATTCTTGAGCTAATTAGAAAAGATTGTCAAACAATAGATGAAAAAAAGGGCTGAAAATGTCGAGTAAGGCTTACGTTCTACTCGTTTACGGATAAACTGCTTTTCAAATGCTACCTTCACCATATGGCTTTTAAAGAAGAAAGGTTAATTGAACAGTGCATCATTCTTGCTTTGCTCGTGCGCTTTCAGAAGAGGTCGTAAATTTGCCTTGAAAATTGACTATGTTAGTATCCTGCTTGTAGGAGAAGTCGATCTCAGCGCACTTTGAGGCCTAATTTATCTGCACTCAATTGCTAGATTTCTCTTCTACCATATTGATATTTTTATTTGACATTCCAGAAAGTGTCATAGAAATTTTTAAGGGAGTTCAAACTTTGGTAGTAGTCACAAAACGCGAATTTCGAAAACGTTGCTCAGAATCATAGTGTTTTCTTAGTTACCGTTACTTAAAAAAAAACTGGCGTCGACATTCTCTTCAAGACTTTTCGTTCCGTTGATAACTGACCATTTGTCTCGAAGCTGACAGAGTCAGCCGTCTCAAACTCATAGTCACATTTGCATTAACAATCTTTACAGTGCCAATCAGTCATCTTATAGGAAGAATTATAGGACAGAAACAGCGTTGCTCAGAGTGAAAAATGACATCTTGTTGAACATGACAAACAGCATGTAACACGACTGGTTTTATTAGATCTTAGTGCGACATTTGATATTGTGGATCACAATGTTTTACTAAGTCGGCTTCACTCAAAATTTGGTATATCTGGAACGGCACTTGAATGGTTTCGTTCCTACCTTAGTGGAAGATCTCAGCTGTTATGGTCCAAGGAAATTTATCTCAGAGTTTGAGTTTGGACTTCGGTGTGCCGCAGGGCTCTTGCATCGGGCCATTGCTTTTCACGATTTATGCAAGCAAATCGTTTGATGTTATCAAGGTCACCTTCCCACGGTTCACTGCTACACTGACGACACACAGTTGTATGTGTCTTTCACTCCAAACATAAGCACCGGGCAATTTGAGGCTGTCACTGCTATTCAGCACTGTGTGGATGATATACGTAACTGGATGAGCAATGATAAACTACTTCCTAATGATGATAAAACAGAATTCCATATGATTGGTACCAAGCAACAACTAGCCAAGGTTAACATTGATCGTATTTTAATTGGAGACTGTGTAATTAGACCAGTAGGGGTAGTTAAGAACTTAGGGACATGGTTAGACTCGACTCTTTCAATGAATTCTCATGTAAATAACACTTGTTCCAATGCTTTTTATTACTTGCATAATATAAGAAGAATTAGGAAATATCTTTCTAGGCGGTCCACTGAGAAGCTCATTCACACATTTGTCTCAAGTCGTATAGACTATTGTAACAGCCTGCTTTATGACCTACCAGCCTACCGGCTTAATAAGCTAAAGGGGGTCCAAAATGCTGCCGCTAAGTTAATTTTCCAGGAATCTAGATACTGCCATGTAAGACCGTTGCTGTGTAGTCTGCACTGGCTGCCGGTTTAATTCCGAATAGACTTTAAGATGTTATTGTTAACGTATAAGGCTATCAATGGCTTAGCGCCTTTTTTATCTCCAACAACTAATTATTCTTAAAGAAGCATGTAAATACAAGTTACGCTCCGATTGTGATGGACTGCTACAAAACCCTGAGAAATTCAAGACTTAAACAACGTTAGGAGATCAATCTTTTACTGCTACTGCTCCACAACTATGGAATTCATTGCCCTATGCGATTAGGAGTAGCCCTTCATTAGCATCTTTTAAAAAGACTCTCACGACATTTTTATTTCAAAAAGCTTTTTTGTGATTTTATGTGCTTTTTAATCTTGTTTTACTAGGTTTTATGCATTTTTTTTACAATATATGTAGTCTGGGTAATTTTTGAAAGTTTTTATTTTAAAGCGCTGATGAAAATAGCAACATAGATATCGACGCTATATAAGTATTATTGTATTATTATATTACTAAATTTGTCCTTTGGAAACTCCCAAGAGAATACAAGTGACCTAATGGTGGTAACTAGACAACGCTTAAAAAAACTATAAAAGCTTTTAAGATATGATCACTGCGATCGCTGCAAAAATATTCAGCAATTGTTACGATCATATGGAAACCACTCTCAAGCTATTGTGGTTGCGAGATAGACTTTACAGATGTCGGTTGTTGGAAGCATCGCTCAACTTTTTCTTTACCGATCGGAGCGATCGAAGCGATTCTAACGAAATAGAATATAGGCAATAACATTAAAAATAACGTCCGGCTATCGACCTCAATCCTTAGTCGGAGGTCATGGAACCTACTTCTTTTGCGAGTTCGATTGTTGAACTAATCGAACTGTAACGATACCATTATTCTGTTATATGTCCCTTATTAGGATTTTTTCCTTTGGTTGGTCTTTATGTTTGACACAGAAATAAAGTTACTTTCTTACTTAAATACGCCTAGCTGTGTTTTCAAACCTCAATATAACTGATTATAATGCAGAGTCGGATGCGTAACTGTCAACAACTGCTGTTTGATTGTCTTTAATGTCGCAACTATTGTTCCCTTTCTGGAAACAATTAACTTCGGAGAAAAAAAGCTGGTTTAAACATAAGTCCTCTTCAATCGCTGAAACGACCTAAGTATTATGTTAAGTGCGTTCGACTTCGTAAATGCCCCTAATATTTGGCTTTACCTTCGGGCGGTATTTTGAATTACAGGAAAATGGAAACCCGAACGAATCGCCGTTCGCGTTACTTTCACAAGATTAGGCTATTGGGAATCGTTTTTACAAGTACCATGGGCGCCACTGTTTGTCGTAGCCATTCTTTTAGTACACT